GAGCATGAATGGAAAGACTAAGCTGCAGATAATCTCCAATCTCAAAATCTTGTCATCTCGAGTTAATTACACAGTTAAGCTAACGAGGCGATATTAGAACTTACCCGGCGTCGTTAAACTTCGCTGCAACCATGATGCTAGTGATCAAAAGGCGGTGGACATTCAAAGAAGTAAGGTAAGCACCCATCTTTTGAAGATACCTTTCGATGTATATGTAGGCAACAACTAAGCAAGGCGTGCCACAACATGTGTACTTCGAGATGCGATCGATATATTGTCCAGTGCTCATAGTGGGCGCTCGGGAACCATGGAAAATTGTGACACTGTCTTTCTTTTTGAGCCTTTTCAACAATTTTTCGTTCTTCTGAATCGATCTCTCAAACGTAGAGGAAAGAATCGATAACACTCGAGAAGAGCTCGGTATAAGCTTCCCAGATTCACTCAGTCCAAGAAGTGAATCTGTTTCTACTTGAAAATCCTTACCATTATCTGCCATCTTTCTCATGTTTATCTAGACCTGCATAATGCACAAATATTATTTACTTAACTCATACATAATCCTTAGTGAATGGCATAGAAACAATCAAATAATACCCATGGGTCCCTCTTAATCTAATATTAGAACCTACATTATTGATATCGTCCTCCCCTCTTTGGACCTTTCCTTTCGGGCTTCGCCTCCTCGCTGGCATATCGCCCGATGTCTGGCTCTAATACCATTTGTAACAACCCAAACTCAAGCCCACTGCTAGCAGATATTGTCCGTTTTGGGCTTTTCCTTCTAGATAACATATCGCCCGGTGTCTGGCTCTTATACCATTTATAAGAGCCCAAGCCCATCGTTACTAGATATTGTCTTCTTTGGGCTTTCCCTTCCGAACTTCCCCTCAAGGTTTTAAAACGCGTCTGCTACGGAGAAGTTTCCACACCCTTATAAAGAATGCTTCGTTCCCCTCTCCAACTGACGTGAGATCTCACACAAACTATTTTCCAACAAATTCTAAGTTCAAAATGATTCTAACAATATCAGATGAGGAATCTCCTCTTTTCAAGCCATTGAACACTAAAGTAATAGCTTATGAACAATTTATTCATCCCATCAGAAATCATCTCAAACACAAGGAACAAGAATCTAAATCTTACCCAGAATTCTTTGGAAGAAATCAAGTTCTGGAAGCAACTGCTCGTGTACTACTTCGACAAACAAAGAGGGGACGATCCGAGGAGAACTGCACACAAAAGTAGCTCACAGACCCTGAAATGCATCAGAAAAAGGGGTTTGTAAGTCAGAGCTTCTTCAATAACCTTCTCTCAGGCTATATTGCTTGAGCATTCTTCAGAAAAGCTAGGCAGTTCATCATGAGCAGAGAAAGATAAAGTTGGTATTAAAATCAGCTTCTTCATAACGTTGGCCTGTAGATAGCAATTTCTCTAGATTCTGGTTTGGTTCATTTCTTCGGAATATTAGAGAGGAATATGAATAAAGTAGCTTTAATCTATTTTTATTCTTTCCTTTCAGGTATAGTCACCAAGGACAACTGTTTCATGTCCTTTGGGTCCATTTGGGCACACAATTATTGAAGCTTTCAAATCACAATGGAAAAGTGTTAAGCATTTGGAGCATTCTTCTAAGAAACCCATTGGGGAAAAAAGCATCAAATACACAACTGAGACATATATGAAACACAAAGAAAGAACACAGAGATTAAACTCGTAATTCGAATCTCAAACAAGTGTTCTTGCTTTGAGATATTCGATCAACAAGATAATCCGAATCTTCCCTTGTAGTGATTCCTTTTCAGAAAAGCTAAGTTACAGGCAGAGGATGAACAAACAAGAACAATAATGGCTTGTTGGGAGGCCAAAAGTTCCAAGAACATCACATAAAGCTATAAAATCTCCTTTTCCATGGTAGTAATTTGCAGGATTATTACGATCTCTCATCTTTTGGGAACCCCAAATTCGAAACCAAAACGTGGGTAAAAATCATTACGCAATCGAAAGCAATGTAGAACAAGAATCATCACATTTGTTCATCATTTTACTTTGACACTCACAACAATCAGGCAAGAAAAAGAAAGAACAATAAAAACCCATCTGAATTCTGAAGTTGGGAACGAAGAACTAGCTTACAGATTGATGGGTTCTGGGCTATGTGACCAATCTGGAGGCAGGGCTTTGCGCCAAAAGATGGGGAATCCTGTTTTTGGATTAAATGGGTATGCAAAGAAAGGGTTGAAAGGTTCCATGGAAATGGTGGAAGTGGTGTAGGGTAGAGGAATTTTGTTTGTTTGCCCAGAAAATTGGTGGGAAAGGGAAGTTTTTCTTACATGAAAATGAATCGGGTGGAGAGGAAAGCTTTGGGGTTTGATGGGTTTGTTTGAATTTTGGAGTGTAGCGCAAGAAATGGGGTTTGAGCAAAAGCATCACACGTTCGTAAGAATCAGATTTGGGTCGGACTCATTTGGTGTTTGTCGGGTTTGTCCAATTTGATTGATTTCACACCAACAACATGCCCGGCGCAAATCCACCGTTAGCAGATATTGTCCTCGATTTTTCCTTTCGGGTCTTCCCTCAAAGCTTTAAAACCCGTCTAGTAGGAAAAGATTTCCACACTCTTATAAATGATGTTTTGTTATCTTCTCAATTATCATGGGACATCACATCCACTCTCCATTACATCATTCATTTTTTTTTATAAACTATCAAACTTGATCCACACGTATCTTTTCATTTATTGTTATTTCCACTATTACTCTTTCCATATTCTTGTAATTTATTTGATTGTAAATAAGATAACTTTCACATCATTTAAGTGTGGTGATTAATCAAACATTTTTACTCTCGAACTTTGTAATCTTTGAAAATTGAAATTTGTGATATCGAGTACATCAAGATTTGATATTTTATCCGAATGAGAGAAATCATGAGTATACTATAGCTAAGAAAAACTTAAATGCACTTTCCTTTTTTTACGGTGGTTAAATTGTAAAAACTTCATGGTTAAACATATTTTACTCGAAATAATTTTATGTTGGATGACCTCTTAATAATTTTTCCAAAATGTACGTGACTAAAATTCTAGAACATTGTTGAATTATTCAAAAATTGATGTTAACGGATAGATGGTTTCGTGAGAATCCAAGATTCCTATGAAATAGACATTTTTATTATTCTATTTGATTTGCACGAATGTATGAGTTATACCTAGGAATCTCGAGCTATTTGAGCATCTTAGGTTGACCATACAAGAGGCATCTCAAGAGTTTTAAATTCCCTCCTTATACGATCGGCGTGTTCAATAATCATATGAAATAGACATCTAAAATACTTTATTTGGTTTGCACGAATATAGGATATGTACTTAGGAATCTCAAGTTACTCGAGCCTCTTAGGTTGACTATTACTTAGCTTTTTAATTTATTCCGACCCAACATATTCGGGTAAATAAGTCCAGTACATATAATCTCATCTTTAAGGAGATAACTTTCCTACCAAACGAATCATTTGTATTAATTAAAGGAAATGAAGTGACTGATCTGACTGGAGATGATAGTTTTGATCACGAGGGAGGACGGGGTCGACGACAACTCCAGTTCATCACAATCTTACAGTGTAACTCTAAGACAATTTATTCACTGGACGGTTAAAACATTGAGTTGTCTAAGGTTGATATGGTATTACCAATTTCAAAAGTTACCACCATTATACTTCTCGGGAGACAGAGAGTCTAACACCCGAAAATAATGATAGAGTAAGGGGTGACCCGACTTTGTATAATCCGATATTCCACTATCAAAAAAATCTTCTATTATTAAAAAAAAAAATGTTTTTCTCTAATTTAAAAAAAAGGGATAAAGATAATAATTTTTTTATTCAAATAGTCTCCTCCACGTTCCCATCTACCAATATTTTTTTTTTAAAAAAACGTGCTTTATTTTATTACTTAATCCCATAATTTATTTATATAAGATTATATTAATTATTAATTATTTTAATTGAATATTTGCAATAAAAATAAATAATATTTAAAAATTTTAATAAAAATGAGATATTTATAAGAGTAAAAAAAATTAAATATTTCACACCCACGATGTTTCTTAACTAAAACGTTGACCGTAATGGTCGTGTTATAACTTCTTGAAGCATGACAGAAGCCTAACATAAGCTATTGCAGATGATAAGTTCGAATTTCATAAACAAATGACTAGATTTTGTTATTAAAACCATTTGTTTAAGCTTGAAATCCCGTATCAATAGTTATCTCAATTTCAGCGGTAAAAACAAACAATTTCTGTGAGAACCGCCAATCCAAACAACATTCAACTATCAAACCACGAGCATCGTTTCACCATTAGAGTTCCTAACTATCACACGCAAACTCGCATACGACAATGCCTGTCGGTATTTATAGATTCATCACGAGCAAAACTATAATTAGAGCTTTTATATGTCTTGAGCTTAAATCTCGTAATATTTTCTAATTTTTTTATTTATCGCCAATTAAAAAGAAATATTTTCTCAATTCTCGTTACAATTATCGCAACTATTAGCCCGAGCCATTCTTTCGTCAATTTATCACAAAATTAATTAATATCAATCAATTAAATTCGTTAAATAAGTAGTATTTATTAAATTATTTTTTTCCGTACTATCAATTTTTACTCATTTCCAATTTCATCTAATTAAACTTTAAATTAAAAATTTACCTATTTTCATTTCATGTTAATTTCACTAAATCCACTCATTAATTACAACAAAATAATAATAATAAAGAAAAATCTAACTTCCTAATTTCAACAAAAAAAAAAATTAAGATATTAATTACAAAAAATAATAAGAATAAAGAAAAAATTTATAAAAAATAAAAATCGCTATTCTATTGTAACTGTTTTGCATTTAATAAAAATAAAAAATTTAAGATAATATATATATACTCGTTAATAAAATAATTGTGTAGAAAGTAAGGTACACGCACCAGAGAGGCGCGTGAGAGAGTACGATAGAAAAGTCCACCAAGATTCATAACAAAAGGAAGGCACGCAATTCTTCGTCCATTAACAACTGCAACGTGCTGCCATGCAAATTCCATTACTATCTAAAACCAAAGCTTCCATTTCCATGGCTTCCTCTCACCTCTAATTCTCTCTCTCTCCTCTGAATCTCCGGCCATCCTTCATGGCCTTCGCTAAAGCTCCCTCCACTTCCAAGCAATGGATCATCAAGCCTTCTCAATCTCCGTCGTCGTCGCAGAATCTCTTTGTAAGTACCAAACAATTTTCTTACAGTAACAGAAGAAAATCCTCCTCCATTCTCATCTTCTTCTTCTTCTTCCTCCTCTGTTTGTTCCTCTCTCTCATTCTTCTCTCCTCTAACTCCAACAATCCTCCGATTATCGCCGCTACAACCACTAACAACAGGCCTCAATCCGCCGCCAGCGAGAAGGAATTTCGAGGTCAGGAGAAGATCAAAATCGGATTAATCAACATAAGCGACAACGACGAAGGAATCGACGATGTATTCGACCTTCTCGGCTTAGCGGAAGAATCGAAACAAAGAATCGAGACCGTTCGGATTCATTTTGATCGTGTCGGGAATGATGTCGAATGGACGAGTCTGTTTCCGGAGTGGATCGATGAAGACGAGAAGTTCAAATCGCCGAAATGTCCGGATATTCCAATGCCGAAAACTGAGCTCTACACTGATCTAAACCTCGTGATAGTGAGGATTCCGTGCAAGAAAGGGATATTCAGAGACGCGTTTCGCTTGCAGGCGAATCTCGCGGCGGCGAGAGTGGCTCTGGCGAGCGGGTGGGTGGAGGAAGATCTGCTTCAGACGGTGTACGTTGCGTTTGTGGGAGCATGTGGTCCCATGAGAGAGATTTTCAGATGTGATGATCTTGTGAATCCTGATCATACGGTGGAGGGAGTTTCGGTGTATAAACCGGAGTTGAGGAGATTGAAACAGAAAATCTTGATGCCTTTTGGATCCTGCCAGCTTGCGCCTGTTTATGCTCGGACAGGTTGGTTTTTCTTCGTTCATTTCTGGAAATTATTTTTTTCCTTTAAAATCTATTTTCCTAATTCTTCTTGTTTTTCATTAATTCATTGGCGTTACTGATTTTCTTGGAATATGTGATGATTATATGCTTAATTCTTTCATTTTTTTTTTAATGTAGCAAAAGCATTTAGTAGAGTGGTTATAGCTATACATAGGTCCGAAAAAGAAGATTAAGCTACCTTACCATAGTCTCTCTCGGTCAATCTTAGTCAACTAAGCGAGTGAGACGAGTAGAGTACTTAGAAGGAAAGTCCGAGAATCTCCCTTCCTAATTAGGTTACTATGTTTTCTTGTTTGAAATTCTCTGTATAGTATTCATTAGTACTTATTTTTTGCTCACATATGCTCAAAGTCGATACCTAGTCTGATTTTTAAATGATTAAAGTCGATACCCAGTCTGATTTTTAAATGATTAAAATTGTTGGATGATGAAAGTCTCACATCGAATAATTTAGGGAATGATCATGAGTTTATAATCAAAGAATTTAGGGAATGATCATGGTTTTTTGGGAAGCACAGAGCAAAGCCATGAGAGCTTATGCTCAAAGTGGACAATATCATACCATTGTGGAGATCCGTTATTCCTAACCTGGTATCAGAGTCATGCCCTAAAACTTAGTCATGTCAATAGATTGGTAAATCCTCGAAGACATAGTAAAAAATGACTAAGACTCCAAAAGAAAAAGGAGTCGAGGGGGAGGTGTTGGATGATGAAAGTCTCACATCGACTACTTTAGGGAATGATTATGGGTTTATAATCAAAGAATACTCTCTCCATAATTAATGGTATGAGGAATACTCTCTCCATTGTGGTACGAGACTTTTTGGAAAGCCCAAAGCAAAGCCATCAGTGCTTATGCTCAAAGTGGACAATATCATACCATTGTGGAGAGTTGTGTTCGTCTAATTTAATTTATGTTTTATTTTTAATTTGATTGAATTGTATGAAGGTTTTTAAGTATAGAATAAGGTATAATATGTCATGGATTGATTAATTTAATTAGATATAGGGTTAATTTAGTACATTAATTTCTGTATTGAAATTCATAGTCAAAAGAAACGTTTTCTGAAAATGTGCAGATTTTGGCAAGTTAATTATTGATTTATTGATTCTTTCTTTGCTAAGTTTGGTAAGTTAATAGCTGTTCATGAGAATCACAGCCATTGGACTGCAGGAGAATTATTCTGTTTTTATCTTCTTTTTTTTCTTCTTATTGTTATGTTCTTACTATATTAAATATAAATATGAATCTGATTATTCATGTGTTGATTCTAACATTAAATTATAATAAATAAAATATATTTGTATTTTTGTAAAAATATTCTTGTGTCTGAAACTTAAAAAATTTACTGTAAATCCATAAATATTTGATTGTGTGGATTTGGATTAAACTATTTAATATCTTTTAAAGTTTAATGTTTTATTTTACCCCAAATTTAGAATTGTTAATTACTTTTTAGGAGTTTCTTGTAATTTAGTCTATTAGTTAAATACCATAGTATTGGATCAAGCCAAGAAATTTATGATTCAATGTATTATAGTCGAATTTCAATGATATCTAGCTGTGTATTGTTGGGTAACCCCATCCCAAGTAATCATTGTTAGATTAATACGACTCTCCACAATGATATGATATTGTCTATTTTGAGTATAACCTTTCGTAGCTCTACTTTGGACTTTGCCTCATACAAATAAGATAGTATTTTTTTATTATAAACCTATGATCATTCGCTAATTTAGCGGATGTGGGATTTTCATCCAACAATCATTATTTTCTTTATCTGAGATTAGGAAATAAGAACTCATTTTCGATGTAGTTCGGTAGATCAAGACAGGGAATTGTGAATCCACCGTGCATGAATTCAATTTGGGATAATAAAAATTTGTGATATATATATTTTTGTTGGTTTTGCAGGGAGAGAAGTTTGGAGGAATTTCTTGTTACAAAAAGCACCAAAAAACAACTCAACCGACCAACAAATTAGAATCAGGCCAAAAGAAGCGTACGTGACAATCCTCCACTCCTCAGAAGCCTATGTCTGTGGCGCCATTGCCTTAGCTCAAAGCCTCCTCCTAACCGACACATCCAAAGACCTGGTACTCTTGGTCGATAACTCCATAACCAACAAATCCCTGGACGCCCTCGAGGCCGCCGGGTGGGACATCATGAGGTTCCACCGCATACGCAGCCCTTTTGCCGAGAAAGGCTCATATAACGAGTGGAACTACAGCAAGCTCCGAATATGGCAGCTCGTGAAGTACGACAAGATTGTCTTCATTGATGCTGACCTCTTGGTTCTCAAGAACATTGATGAGTTCTTCGCCCTCCCTCAGCTCTCTGCCGCTGCTAACAACAAAATGAGGTTCAATTCTGGGCTTATGGTTGTTGAGCCATCAAATTGCTTGTTTGAGGACTTGATGGTTAAGAGCTTTGAGTTGAAGTCTTATAATGGTGGTGATCAAGGGTTTTTGAATGAGGTCTTCACGTGGTGGCATAGGCTTCCTTCTAGGATCAACCATCTCAAGATCTTTCAGAAGGAAAACGTTGAGAATAATTCAGGTGATTCTATTTAACCTTGACTTTCTGAATCGTAATCCTATGATTTTAGATTAAAACTACTTCCTTTGGTGTCATTCAAATTTAGTTTCTTTTTAACTTTAGATTAAATTTTGATATTAGTTTTCAAATCCTAAAAAGTGTCTGATATTTATAAAATTCAATGGACATAGTCTGATTATATATTATTATATACTTTGTAAGGCATGGAATGAAATAAATGTTAGGAACCAAGCATCTCCATAATAACACGTGCCGAAGATTGTTACGTGTAAGTCCTACATTGGCTAATTTAAAGAATGATCATGGAAATATAAGTAAATGAACATATCTCCATTAGTGTGAAGACTTTTGGGGAAGCCCAAAGCAAAGCTATGAGATCTTATGCTCAAATGGATAATATCATACCCCACATTGGCTAATTGCCATGAGATGATATTGTTAACTTTGAACATAAGCTCTCACGACGAGTTTGACTTTGTTTTTTGTTTTCTCGAAATGTCTCATACGGATAGAGATGTACGTATTCCTTACTTATAAACCCATATGATCAATTTTGAACATAAGCTCTCATGACTTTACTTTTGGTTATGTACGTATTCCTTACTTACCCACTATGATCAATTTTGAACATAAGCTTTCATGGCTTTGCTTTTGGTTATGTACGTATTCCTTACTTATAAACCCACTATGATCAATTTTGAACATAAACTCTCATGACTTTGCTTTTGGTTATGTACGTATTCCTCACTTATAAACCCACTAGGATCAATTTTGAACCTAAGCTCTCATGGCTTTGCTTTTGGTTACCCTGAAAGATCTTATATCAATGGAGATGTATTTCTTACTTATAAACTCATGATCAACTCCTTAATTAGTTGAGGTAGGACTTTTCTTCCAACAATTCTCAAGTACCGATTTATAAGTTCATACATTAAACTTGGTACACCAAAGCTTAGTTTAGTTAATTTTTACTGGTGTTTGATATTATAAATACATTGTTTATGAACAGATCCTTATGCAATACATTACCTGGGGATGAAGCCATGGATGTGCTATAAGGACTATGACTGCAACTGGGACAAGGAAGACCACCAAATTTTTGCAAGTGACTCAGCTCATGCCAAATGGTGGGAAGTTTACGAAGCCATGCCCGCAGAGCTGCAGCCCTTTTGTGGACTGACGAAGAAGATGGATTTCAGGCTAAGAAAATGGAGAAGTTTTGCCAGAAACTCCAGTTTCCCTGATGCCCATTGGAAGATCAAGATCAAAGACCCTAGACGACGCCGTTTTATGGATCGACAATAGGCACAAACAATCAAAAGAAAAGAAAAAGAAAAAAGAGACAACTATCTCATCAACAAATCTGTAAGTTCCTTACCTTTTTTTCTTCCAATTGCTTCTTCTCTTGGTTTTCACATATAAACTTAGACAGGTTTGAGCTTTAGAGTTCCTCTTTGTTCATGTTTTTTTTCACAGAGAAATGAGATTGTAAAGTAATAGAGAAAATTTGGGACTTAAAATTGTAGAGTAATTAACGTTTATAACTTGTTTTTTTCGAAAAGTGTCTAATAAGTTTGTTGGACGATAAAAGTCCCACATCGGTTAATTTAGGGAATGATCATGGATTTATAATCAAAAAATACTCTCACTATTGGTACGAGGCCTTCTGGAGAAGCCTAAAGCAAAATAATGAGAGCTTATACTCAAAGTAGGTTGGGTCGTGTTCATCTAACAAAGCGTAGCACTATTTTTTTTATTCAATTTCTAGGAATCAATAGAAAATGAAAACTCCCTATAATACACTACATCGGACTAGGTCATTGTTAGAGTGAATAGATAGATCTACAAATTATTAAGCTTGTGATAAAGCCGCATGATGTGAACTTTTAACTTCTAAGAGAATAAAAAATGTTACAGAAAATCGACATAAATATAGAGCGATTGTGTGACACTTGTTCTAAACCAACGAAACATAAGAAATTCAGACTTCGCAGACATCATCGACATATGCTTGAGCCTCGAGTCACATTTGTAAAAAATGTATTAGAAAACATGAGCGAGAATATACGTTTGAAAATAATTTTAAAGAATGTAAACTTACAAAAACTAAAACCGATCAGGCAACAACGATTTTGATAGGAAATGTGAGCGAGAATATATGTTTGAAAACAATTGGAAAGAAAGTAAGCTCACAAACTAAAATCGATTAGACAATAACAACGACTTTGATAACATATAACTCAGATAAAAAGAAATAATATATAAAGAAAATCTATAATTTAATCAAATTTACTTAATATTTATTTATTTGATTTTGTGATTTGTGCATGAAGATGAAAGTCTCAGTTTATGAATTTATAATCAAAGAATACTCTCTCTATTTTTTAATATTATTAAATCAATTTAATTTTTTTTAGACCTCTCCCCCACCGGAGAGCGGTTCCTTCAAAATTAAAAAACTGCACTGTCGGCTTTTTTTTATTTATTATTATTTATTTATTTTTAATTTTAAAATAATTAATTTCCTTTTTTTGAAAATTATTCTCCACTTTCTTTTCCCTCCGCTCTCTTTCTCTCTCTAGACTCTGACTTTCTTGGCGACCGCCATTGATCGAAACTCTTCATTTTCTCTTACAATTCACTCTCCCTTTACCCTGTTCGTCGCACATTCCTCATTTCCTCGTTCTCTACTCTCTTCCGATCCCTCAAATGCAAGATATCTTCGCTTCTGTTCGCCGATCATTGGTGTTTCGCGCTCCTCTTGAGAATGAGGATCCTCATTCCCCTGCAATTGGAGTTGGAGCCCTAGTTGATAAGATTAACTCCAGCATTCGGAAATCCAGAGTGTTTTCTAGGCACTCCCCCTCGTCCTCGGCTCTTCCTCCCATCCCCAAGGAAACTGACCCTCCGATTCGATGGCGCAAGGGCGAGTTGATTGGCTGCGGCGCCTTTGGTCGGGTGTATATGGGTATGAATCTTGGCTCTGGAGAGCTTCTCGCTGTCAAGCAGGTTTGCTGCCTTTGAAGTTCGGTTTCATTGCTTGTTGGTGAATTGTGCTTTTGGAGATTGGTTTTGGAATCGTTGGGTCTCATTTTGATCGTTTTCTGCGTCGTTCTCGTCCAGGTTCTGATTGCTGCAAATGGCGCTTCGAAGGAGAAAGCGCAGGTTTGCTTTTAGTTTGCAGCTGATTCTAATAATATGATTTTGTTCTTACTCTCCTTTGATTCTCGTCTTTGAAGCAATCAAATATGGATTTGATTAATTTTTCTCTATATATAGTCTATATATTGACGAGAATGCTTAAAATTGATGATCCTGGATCGCCGGTAACTGACTATAGCTGCCATTTTTCACCAACCACATTCCTGATCAACATTTCCTGGACATATTTCGTTTAGTTAATTCCAGTTAGTTTTGAATTTTAATGGACTTGAGTTAGATACTCGATAGTTATATTCATTTTTGTTTTGCTTAATACTTAAAGCACAACGATTTCTTAAACAAGGCCTCATTGTTTTTGTTTTTATTCTCTTATTTGTGTCGCATATTATATGCCTCACCTTACTTAAGCCCTTAACCTCCAAAAGGCTATTGCACTTCAATGCTCTTCACACTCTAAAAAACATTCCCACCTCTTACATGGTGTTATGTTTTTATCTTTTACCTTTCGATATTAGAAAAAATTAAATTTATGCCACTATATTAACTTAGACTGCTTTTATAACTGAGAAATTCTAATCTATCATAAATTTTCAGACTTTGTGGACTGCCCAATAAAAACTTTTTAGTATGATTTATGAGGTACTACGGAAGTTTTCAAATTGAAATGAACTAGGAGAAACCATAAGTAAATTTGAACAAATTGGAAGTTTTCCAATTGAAATGAACTAGGAAGTTTTCAAATTTATTATCAACATTTGAGTTTTTTTTTTTTTTTTTTTTTTTTTTTTTTTTTTTTTTTTTTTTTTTTTTTTTTTTTTTTTTTTTTTTTTTTTTTTT